TTTCCACATAGTGACATAGACATGTGGGGGCGTGTGAGAACGAGCCGTTTTAGGTAGGCGTGGTTGACTCTTAACTTTTATAAAGAATATCTCTTTGGATTTGAGACTTTAGTCTTTGCAACTTTACAGATCTTTATGCACCAAGAGCTTGCAACACTCCAAAGAGAAAGGAAAACTTGAAATCGCATCATATGACCCCTTTAAAACAGAATTATATTTAAATGATAAGATTTTACAGCATTACTGTTTTTACTTTATTTTACATCAAATAAATGTTGCTGTTGTAAGCATAAGAGACTCCTTTAAACAAAAACAATAAAAAATGTCTTTCTTAGTGTACAGTGGCCCCCCGGACCCCATCCATGGAAATGCTCTCTTTCAGAAAGTCAGAAGCTCGGCTCAGGTAAAACTGTCTCTTTGTACAGACAAATCGATAACATCGATCAATTAAACTGCAGTACAAGCATTCCTATGATCAATAACTTTTTTCTTCTGTTTCTGTATTCTGTTCTTCTGTCTATTCATAAAGAACATGCAACATATAATTAACACAGAAAGCAGTCACTTTTCTGTGTATTTCTTGTTATTTATTAATAACTGAATTAAACCAGTGTTTGTTTCTATACAGGAGTTGGCTACCCTACTCTTTAATGATACTATGTCCCCAGATTCAGGACTGTCTCCACACAAAACAGTGACACAGTCTGTGGGTGAGTGAACCAGGATTTGGGTTTTTGAATGTCTCTATTTAGCTTGTTTTATTATAAGTTAAAAGTATTGACGTGTTATAGTATGTAAATGATATATGCCAAGATTTTTGTTTGCAGGAATGGGCTCAGAGTCGCTCAGGTCTGGCATGCAGGGGTTCGGATACAGCCCAGGAAGGAAAGAATCCAGTAAGACACAGACATTTAATATCATTCATTCCACTCAACTAATACTTACAACTTGAAGGCATGCTGTTGTGTGTCCTGTCTTATTTCACGCAATGTTTGCCTCACTCGTTCAGGTGGAGGGACTCTGTTGGACAAGATTCAGAAAGCTGCCGAAGTGGTTGCCAGCGCTGTTCTTCCTCCAACAGAGCATCCTGGCATCCGTCTCCATGATAACCACTACCACGCTGTGGTGGCACCCTCTGCTACTGTGGAGATGGCAGTGCCAGCATGTGCCTACAACGTCCCATCCCACAGCCACAGAGGTGAGCCATGCACTGATTTTAAAAGCAGGTCAAGTGCATGTTAAGAATGTCAAAGAAATTACCGTTTCTCCTCCTCGCAGCATCTCACAGATACCCAGGGCAGGCTGGTGGAGGCTGGGAGGAAACGGACAGTGGGCACAGCTCCTCACACAACTCATCCCAGGAGACTGCAGAAGCCAGCCAGACCTCACTGGGAGGAAGCAGTAAGTCGGGCGGCTCGGGCAGCCACTCCGGGGCGAGTCGGGAGAGCGGTGACCTATCAGAGCGGTAAGGGACAGATGGCTACAGGGCTCTTGTCCTTGATGGAGGTCAGCACACATTGCTTTCTCAAGTGTTTGAGGTCATTAACGCCAGGTCATTGCATAGCTAAGGGGAAATTTAATGCTGGCGTCTTATTTCCAGTATTAAAACAGCAGCATCCAATGTCATTTGTCATAATTTGCAACAAAATCACAAATATATAAAAAATTATATTATATTTTGCATTGTTATATATTTTTTAGAACCATTAAATTATAAGTTAAATTAAGCATAAACTCTCTTTATCATAATGAATTTGGAATGTTTTAGGGTTGTTGTTTTTTTCTCAATGACCCTCAGATTATCATTACTGTTAAGCAGTAATATATAACTATATTACAATAAAAATATAATTTATGCATTTTTGAAAAATAAATCAGTAATATACAACAAATATTATTATAGTTATATGTGTAAGTACTTGTGAATTTTTTTTTTTTGGAAAGAAGTCTATAATGCTTGCCAAGGCTGCATTTATTTGATAAAAAATAACTTTTCTATGTATAATATTTTAAAATGTAATTTATTCCTGTGAGGCAAAGCTGAATTTTCAGCATCATTACTCCAGTCTTCAGTGTCACATGATCCTTCAGAAACCATTCTAATATGCTGATTTGGTGCTCAAGAAACTGTTATTATTATCACCCATGTTGAAAATGGTAGTGCTGTTTAATATTTGAATTTTTTTTTATATTTAAAAGAACAGTGTTTATTTGAAATAGAGCGTTTAGTAACATAAATGTCTTTATTGTCAATTTTGATCAATTTTATTGCAACAATAATTTCTTAAACAAATCTTACTGACCAGAATTATTTTGTAACGAGATTATAAAATTATTATTATTATTTTTCAATTTGATTCTTTTGAGGTTGCGTGAGATTCACATTGTTATTTTGTGATATCTGTGTTGATTTGAATCAGTGTGGAGGCCATTCAGTTGGGGGACTGTGGTCAGGAGACGGCACTTATCAACAGACTGACCAGCGGTTCAAAAGTCTTCCTGTCCAGAGAAGAGAGCCAGCATTTTATCAAAGAGTAAATGATTCATTATGAGACATGTGCATGATTTTGGCATCAGTGTAGACATATAGCGATCTACAGTATACTCTTGGGTTGTAATGTCAGTGCATGCAGCGTCAAAGCTAAAATTGTGTACATATTGATCCTCTGTTTTCTTTTAGATGCTCCACTCTCAACTGTGAGGTGGTCGTTGAACTTCTGTCTCGCAAACTCCAGGACCACACACAAATCCTCCAGATGGTAAAGTCTCCTATTCTGTTACACTACTCAGAATATTATTTCAAATAAACATTTTTTTTATTTAACTTGCATGAGCAGTTTATATTGATACCATACAGCATAACCAGTTTGTATTTCCTTCCTGCAGAGGGCAATGTGTGCTCTGGCCTGCCTGATGTCTTCAGATTTCCTCTCTTTAGATCATATTTTCAATATCACAAACAAACGCCTTGCCCAACTTAGCGAAGGAACCACAGGCCCTGTCGCCAACAAGGCAACCAAGGTAACAGTTGCCCTACACAATTTTCATGAAAAGTTTTTCAAAATAAAATGATTGGAATCTATCAAATTATTTGAGTATGTTTTACAAGAAAATACTATTTCAGTCTTTCTGCTTTTATATTTCACCTTTAATTCAATTCCATTTTGTGACTAATTGTGAAATATACTAGAAATTTGGAGCAAACATTGCTAGCAATGACACCAATTTTTCTTTATTATCTTTGTAATTATTATGTAGGATTACTTTATTTTTGTTTCTTTAGCTCTTAAGGCAGTTTGAGGCCTTGCTTGGTTGTGTCACAAATTCCAAATGTGACCGTGCTGGACGTCCAACCTCTGCCAGCTCTTCGCTTTCAGATCAGCCTCCTGAATCTATAATCGTCCCCTTTGTTCCGGGACAACTAGGAGAAAACGCAACCTCTGTTATCCCATCAGAGGAGACCCCATCTACACAACACCTACAGGGTAACAGCACTGTACCTGGCTCTCATATGAAAAGAGAACAAGAGGGGGAGTACAGGAACACAGAAACCTCTAAGATCTCAGAGCCACCCAGACTGTCACTCTTCAGTGGAATGGAGTTAGTCAACAGAAGCAAACCTGTATGTTTGGTCGAGCCTGTTCCTGTCGAGTCAGACGCCCAGATAAGTGTAGAAGCCACTACAGGCACAGACTGTGCAATTGAGAAAAGCTGTGAGAGAACTGCAGGCTCACACACATCTAGTGAGCAAGTGTCTGTCTTCTCCTTCCTCAATCTCTGATGCCAACATTCATTTAAGGTTATGTGCTGATTTGGGGGGAAAATAACTTCATTCTAATCTAATAATGATATAATAATTGCTACAAGTGACCACGTTTACATGCATATGAAAATTTTAGTCTGCGGTAACCTGATTTCCATGACCTGATTAAAGCAATATTCTGACTTATGCTTGTATTAATCATCATTTTGAGTCACGTAAACACCTTATTAGGAAGATCAACTGTTTGTTGTATGTAGTTATGAGTGAACAACATTGGAGCAAATAGGAGATTGACTTTTTTTTTTTTAGACCAACATTAAAATGTCATGACCTGCACTACCATTCAAAAGTTTGGGATGAGTTAGATTTTTATTTTTTGCAAAAAAGAAAGAACAATTAAGAATTTTATTCAGCAAGGATGCATTAAATTGATCAAAAGTACCAGTAAAGATTTATATTTCAAATAAATGCGGCTTATTTTGAACCTTCTGTTCATCCAAGAATCTTTAAAAAAAACTTAATGAGTTGTTGTCATTACTATTCAGAATTTCTAAAATCTCCAGTATTTCCACCGGGGAATAGCAGGAAAACGCATGCATGTCTTAGTTTATATGCTGATTACATGTATACAGGAATATTCCAGTTGCTGTGAAGGATTTTTTGATCAGAAATGATTTTGCATGTAAATGTGGTCACAGGCTTAACCAGTACTTATGAAGGTAACATCCACCTGCAATTGCAAACATACTCTTTACTTACGGTCTAAATGCTGCTAGTGGTTCACATTAAATGTTCAAGCTGAGAATAAGTCAAGTCTCGACGATCAGTAACGGTACATTTCTTCAGCTCCTTCTGAATTCATGAAGATACATTTGAGAAAACTCAGGATGCTTTTCTGTTGTGGTGTTAAACACGAGTGTTACTGCAATGGTTGCTACTATTTGCACTAGTCTTTCCTCTTACTAAAAGCACTTATGTCTTCCTGTGTGTATTATAAAATAAGAACAAACATTAAAGGGGTCATAGGATGCCCATTTTCCACAAGTTGATATGATTCTTTAGGGTCTTAATGAAAAGTCTGTAACATAGTTTGGTTAAAATTTCTCAATGGTAGTGTAAAAAAACAATTTTTTTACCGTCAAAAACGGCGCTTTTCAGATCAAGCCGTTTTTGTAGCATGATCCTTTAAATGTTAATGCGCTCTGCTGACCCCACCCCTTCCGAGCTGCTCTTAGAGAGACCGTTTACTTTAGCCGCATTCATCGTGAAACTTGCTAATTAGCACATTATTAGGCGATATAAAGGTGATTTGCAAAGATTCTTTACAAAACATTGTACTCACTTTTTCTGTAGATGAGGCTGGATCATGAGTCATTTATTACATCCAACAACAGAACACCTCAATCGCTTAGAGTCATTCTTGTCTACATCTGCTCCAGCGGTGAAACAATGGCGGACTGATGACGGCTCACTCTAAGACACCAGTCCAGTCTGTGCTGAAGCGCTACTGTCAAACAAACTATCGTGAGAGGGGCCTGTCTGTGTGACGTCACACAGACAGGCATCTGAGATTGGCTCAATTTGAGAAAGGGGAAAACATTTAACCAGATCTATGTAAAACCACTGGGTGGATTTTTATCATTATAGGGTGGTTGTGCACACACACTGCCAACACACATTTCAGTTCAAACTACTTGTAAAAGT